ATAGAGGGTTCATTTGAATCTATACTCGAAGTCGATGGACGAAAGGAACATACAACCATTTACGTGATTTCGGGGGGTACTAGAGACCTGTTGGGTAAGAACACAGCAGTACGTCTGGGTGTCTTAAAACTTGGTATCGGGATAAATCAAGTGAAGAGTATCGATCCCCATTAAAGAGAAGGTTGCAATCAAAACTAAGGAATCACTAAACAGTGATATAATTGAAGAAGTGCAAGGCCCGTCTAAATGGGTTTCACCAATGTTCCAATCATGAAAGAAAATGGTGAATTACGTTTTGCGTAGATATGAGATGTACGAACGCCGCTATATTGCGAGAAAACCACCCCCTGCCTACTATGGCCCATTTTTGCCTAAAATGAAGAAGGCTAAATATTTTAACAAATTGGACATAAAAAAAATGCCTTCCATCAAGACATAACGACTTTTATAACCCCCAAAAGATTATATAGATATAAAAGAATAATGCTTGGAATTACCTGCGCTTCCGGGATTTTTCAGAAGATCATTGAAAGGATGCTGATAAACTGTGAAGGGGTCGTCAATTTTATTGATGATATCCTGGTATTCGGAAAAAAGAACATGATGCATGACTAAAGAAAGTTCTACAGGTACTTAGTAAAAACAACGCCGTGCTGAATAGCAATAAATGCATATATAAAACGCAGGATGTGAATTTTCTGGGACACAGGCTTACACATGAATGAGTAAACCCTTCAACAATTACGTTGAGAGCATTATGAAATTTAGGGTCCCAAAGACCATAGAAGAACTCCAAAGTTTTTTAGGACTCTTAAACTACATAAACAAATGGATAACTAACTTAGCCGCCATGACAGAACTTCTGAAGCACCTGCTAAGACAGAAGATGAGCAAAAGGAAGAGCTTGGAAAAACAATGGTCTGGGGAACAAGATAAAGCATTCCAAAAACTCAAACGGATGCTCACGGAAATACAGATTTTAGGGTATTATGACGTCAGAGATGCAAGACAGGTGATAGCAGATGCTAGCCCTGTCGGACTTGGTGCTGTCCTTGTACAAAATGATACAAATGGCTCTAGAATTATTGCCTATGGTAATCGAACTTTGACAGACTGCGAGCGCAGGTATAGCCAAACGGAAAAAGAGGCACTAGCATTAGTTTGGGGGGTCGAACACTTTAATATTTTTTTATTTGGAAAGCCTTTTGATTTAGTCACTGACCACAAGCCGCTAGAGATATTGTTCGGGTCTAAGTCAAAACCATGTGCGAGGATTGAACGATGGGTACTGAGGTTACAGTCTTATTCATTCAAGGTTGTATACAAGCCAGGAAAAACAAATATAGCTGATCGCTTGTCACGATTATGTAACTATTCTGATAACCCACCAAAAGGAAAAGACCAGCATGTGTACCAAATAGTGAAAAATTCTAGACCAGTTGCTATACCAATGAGTACCATTGTAGCATATTCAGAAAAAGACCAAGAGATTTACAAAGTGAAAAAAGGTGTCTATCAGAACGACTGGGACGATTCGATTAAGAGTTGCAAATTTTTTGAAAACGAGTTGTTTCCATGATAGCATTCTACTTCGTGGAAATAAAATTGTAATACCACAACAACTCTGCAAGAGTGTATTAGATGCTGCATACGAGGGTCATCCAGGTATCGTAGCGATGAAGGGACGCTTGAGATCAAAGGTATGGTGGCCCCGTATCGATAAAGACGTAGAACAATTAGTAAAGGCTTGTAAAGTTTGTACGTTAGTGGGTTTGCCAAACCCACCTGCACCAATGAAGAGACGAGAGTTGCCTGCAGCTCCATGGATAGATGTCAGAATGGATCTAATGGGACCATTGCCAAGTAACGAGTATCTGTTAGTAGTGGTCGACTACTATAGTCGATACAAAGAAGTAAAAATTACTGAAACATCACAAGGCTACAGATTATTAAAATGGTAAAAGAAATGTTCAGTAGACTTGGTTATCCTATTTCTATCACCGCAGACAATGGCAAGCAGTTCGTTAGTGAAAAGTTTCGATCTTTCTTCAAAGAATGTAACATTAAGTTATTTAGTACTGTACCATATTGGCCTCAAATTATCGACGAAGTTGAAAGACAAAACAGAGATATTTTGGAAATGTCTTCGTATCAGCCAGATCGAGAGGAGGGATTTAAAAGAATGTTTGTGGGAGTATCTTCTAATGTATAACAGCACCCCTCCTTACAGTTACCAGGAGGTTACTGTCTGAACTGTTTTTTCAACGAAAAAGTAGGGATAAAATTCCATCAATAGGTCAAATAAATTACAGACAATCATTTAGATTCAGATATCAGGGATAGAGACAAAATACAAAAAGAAAAAGGAAAAGAGTATGTAGATAGGAAACGCAGAGCAACTCACTCAGATATAATACAGGGAGATAAGGTTTACGTAAACCTTATCTCCCTGTATTATACAACAAATTTTAAACCGACGCCACACGTCGTAGAGAGTGCACGAGACGGTGACTGCACAGTACGCAATAGTGAAACGAACCAAAGGTTTAGGAGAAATGTGATACATTTGAAGAAAGTAGGAGGCGATTGGACGGCTATTCCACCCGATCAGAATGAAAAAGAACAAAATCTAGAAGAGGATAAAGAAGACGAAAATATGTAATAATTAATACAGACAATACAAGCTGCTTTGTGATTGTTATGAGTTATAAAAAAAAGAAAAAAATCTTGATAAGAAAGACATGTAGTGTTTGCATATATATATATGTCACAGTCTCGAGCGCCCCGCGTCAGTTACACGAGAGCCTCGGGCGAGAGTGGACGTGTTAAGTTAAGTGAGTGTCGAGCCCGTGTTACACTACAAGGATTAGAGAAGATAGCAGACATTACAATATGAATTTATTGTTATTATATTTTTTAATATAATATATTTAACTTATTATAATATAACCTAACTCTATATTATTTAATGTTTATTTCTGTATTATTGCTCAAATAACATAATTGCCGTTTATTAGGGTTCTGTACCCAAAGAGTATCAACGGGACCTAAGTCTTCACTATCGTTCCGTCTGTCTGTCAGTAGACTATATCTTATGAACCGTAATATGTAGAATTTTCACAGAATGTGTATTTATATTGCTGCTATAACAACATAAAATAAAAGAGAAAACAAGTAAAATATTAAAGTACCCAAAAAAAATCATTTTTTTCTGTATTGATATGTGTTTTGTTTACAGACTAAAAAAACACGGCTGGCATTGATAATCAGAAAAGGAGTGGTCTTTCATCATGATAACGCAAGATCACAAGATTAGTTATCTGTTTGAGACTTTCAATACACACTAACATTCCTAAAAATCCAGTATTTGCTTAAAACTGGTTTAAGAGTTTTAGTCATTATTTTCTTGTTGCTTCTGTTCTTTAAAAGAAAGCTTTCTGGAGGTTTTAATATTTAAGTTTATAATATTTTTTTCCATTATAAATGGGATGACTAAATCCATGTTCCTTCAAATCTCTGGTATTGAATATATCAAATAAAACTACTTGTCGCATTTTTTTAATCAAAATTCCAAGATTTCTACAGAAACGTTTATTTTTTATTATGCCACTACCTACAAGATGGTAACAAATTATCGAACAGAATGGACCCATATATATTATAATTAAATTAAATGTAATAAAACTTTAAAACAAAAACGTCTTGAATTTGTATACAATATTCGAAGAAACTTTTTCCCCGGTCTTAATAACTTAGGGAATGATTCTAGATGATGATAAATATTTTTTATTATGGGATCATCTTCGAAATTTTCAATTTATACGTGATAGATCCATACTGCAGCTATATTACTGGTATAGTTGTAGCACGAATGGGTCAGCTCGACCGGGGAAGGACCACGCTCTCACAGAATACTAGTGTAAAATAGGAGCTTAACGCTGCTGTGTTTTCTATGGTGAGTGTAGAGAACCGGTGACCCTTTTTACTAGATACGAGGCATTCCATCTTAGTCCTCAGGGGTTGCAAAACATCAGCATTTTGATTCATAACTGAGGATAGATGTATATGTCTATGGGCCACAGCAACCACTTACCATCAGGTGGACTGAGTGCTCGTTTGTCACCCTGATCCTATAAAAAATATCTCAAAGTCAGTTATTCCATACAAAATTTTGTACAAACTTGCTCAAAATGTATGGAAGACCTGATTTTTCTTGCGATTTGGAAGATGAACTATAGTAAAAGTTGTTCATATTGACACATAGAATAGAAAGCACTATTTTGATTACACCATACATATAACTATTTTTTTAAATAATTTATGAATATTAGTTAGACATGTAAATAAAAAAATTAAACTGATAAAAAGGAGGCCTTATCATTTATATGTCATTTATTCAGAAGAAAAACCTATACATAATATACACAAATATTTTGATACATTTGTTATTAATAAACTATTCATTTTTAAGTATTTCTGGAATACATTCATAACTATGAACTTAACTACTAAGCCATAGTATAAAATAAATTTTCCCGTTAATTGGGTAATAGATAAGCTGCTGGCATATACAATTTTTCACTCACACTAACATCATGCAAATTGTCTTATACACACTGCAATATTAAGATGCCGCAGTCATGGAGCTCTTACTTGCAGGGAGCGCGGTATTTAGTCAGAGTGGGCGATGACTTATCATTAATCTATGGATATGGCATTGTCTAACATTTTTCTTAAAATGTAACTATAATGTTAGCGTGAGAGTGACTGATAAAACAACTTTCTTGTTTCTATGATCGAAGGTCTATCAACTAAGCCATACACCTAAAAAACCAACAATCACAACCTAAGATTGTGAATTTTTTTCTAAACTATTTATCATGGCACTATTATTAAATGGAAAAAAAGTCGAGCAAAGGACATTTACGGACTGATGAGGAAGAATAAAAAAAGGGAACAGGAGACATTGGTGTGTAACTAAAATAACATTAATTGTCTACCTGAGCAGCTTGAGCAAATTGTTGAATCCTTTGAGGCGATGATTTCACCTCCTCAGCTAACTTATCTTTAAGCTTTTTGAACATTTTTTAGACACGCGTACTGTCTAAATATTATAACATACTGTGATATTTACTTTATCAAGTTTACAAGCAATATATAATTTGTATTTAGATAAAGATACTATGTTATATTATTAAGTGAAAATACAGGTAAATGTAGCAGTCATACACTACTCAACCCTTTTGACTTTTGACAGCTGTCAGCTCTCAGCTCCGATAGTATCCCCTATTTTTCCATAGATATAAGAAAAAAAATTTCTTATATCTATGGTAATAGTGTTCTGTGGCTGTCAAGGTGGCTGTCAGACTTATTGGAATATTGGACTTAGGCATGGCAAAAATCGGTATATACAATATTATTCGATTCTAAAAGCAAATCGATATCGATTCTTTCGAGTTGGTAATTATTTACAGTTTTGTCTACCGACTTCCAAAAGGAGACGGTACTCAATGAGGGCTAATAATTTTCTGCTTACCAGAAGTAGCTAGTTGACACTCGGGTAAAGTTTTTTGTTACATAATGTAATTTAATTGAGCAGTTGTTTTAATAAAGTTTAATCAGTTTCTAGAATATTATATTAATACACAAAACAATGCGTCAGTGGTTTGCTATTTAATTTTTTGCAAATTTTTAATATTTTTTTAATTTTTCTACTTTTATGAATATCTGTGGTTTGGTTTATTTATTTTTAACGTTATTGATATAAAATATAGCTAATAGTGCAAAAAGAAACAATAACTTTTACACTTTCCGAACAAATTAACTTCCCTGCTATGGAATCTGTCAAATATTATACCTCACACTCTAGTGGCGCCGCTCTGGTGACAGAAAAAGTCGACTGTATGTTTTTCTGCCGACTTCAAAAAGGAGACGGTATTCAATTCGACTGCATGTTTTTCTATGTATGTTACCTCTTAACTTTTTACTGGTTGAACCGATTCGAGGATTCTTTTTTAATTTGAAAGCTGGTACTTCACATGCAGTGATGCCATATGAATTTGATCAAGGTCAGACCAATAGTTTTTAGTTATTCTTAATAATTTATATTGAAGTTGGCTGTACAAACTTTTTAATTTTAAATTTTGTTTATTTTTCTTTTATCAATGTGTGTTACCGCATAACTTTTTTCTCGGTGAACCGATTTCTATGATTCTTTTTATTTGAAATCTGGTGCTTCAATGTTCTGGTATGAGGAAGCTCAAGGTCGCTCAGCGAGCTATGGAGAGGGCTATGCTCGGGGTTTCTCTGGGTGATGAACTTAAAAATGAGGATATCCGCAGTAGAACCAGAGTAACCGACATAGCCCAACGCATTAGTAAGCTGAAGTGGCAGTGGGCCGGCCATATAGCTCGAAGAACCGATGGGGAAGAAAGGTTCTCGAGTGGCAGCCTCGTACCGGTAGGTGAAGTGTAGGGCGACCCCCCACTAGATGGAGTGACGACCTGATAAGACATGCAGGAAGTCGATAGATCCAGGTGGTAAGAGTTTTTACAAAAATTTACTTCGCAAATATCCGCGTTATAAAATAAAATGATGTGTCTTACCTAGTACGAAGAGCACCTCCCGCCCTCCCTCAATTGTGTGCAATATCCCCGCCACCACGTTATATAAATTTAAGATTGAAAATAAATTTATTCAATCACTTTTAACTTACACTTCAATCACTACAACTAGTTGAGCTGGTTTAGATTAATTATTATCTGATTTTCAATAATGTAGTCAAAAATGTCTCTTTCAAAGTCATCCATAATAATTTTGTTTTCTCCACCACTTTTTATCAATCATCTTTTGTGATGCTTTCTTTAGCAAACCTTCCATCTTTTTCACCGTGAAAGGTGACTTGGTGTTTTGTCGTGCTGTATAAACTGTAAAAGCATAAGATGTTTTTAATCTCCCAAAGTGGCGGGAGATTGAAATTACGAAGTGTTTTTTTCTACGCGGCCTTGCATATAACTTTTTGCTTCTACAAATTTACACTGACATATGGAAAAAAAAATAAACTTGTTTTATTCAAGATTCATATAATTTAAGCAATTTTAAAAATAAAAATTTAAATAAACATAATGTAAATTAAAAAATTAAAGAATCCATTATTTGAATATTTTACCAGATTATTTGAATAGTTTTTACGATTATTCACATAACAATAAATTTTAATCATCAAACACTACGTTAATGTACTTAGCGACTATGGAGTGTAGAGTACAAGGAGAACCATCTTATAAGGGGCGAAAGTTGAAAAAGTGTCCTACTATTTACTGAAAATAGAGGTTCCATAACCTACCACAACAGCGCTGGCGTCCGAAAAACTACGATATGAAGATAGCTGTTGTGCACGGAGTGAAGTCAACTGAATTCAAATATTTAAAAAATTTCATGACTAGAGTAGTTAGTAAAATGCCAGTATACAAAATCTCAATTATTTACGTAGTACAAAACCAAGCGGATTGGTCGGTCCTTGTTTATTTCTCCATCTTATTCTAATTACTTTTGGCGCTTTTTTTTTATTTATCCTATGCTACTGCAGCACCACCCTTATTGGACACGTTTTTAGGGATAGTTTTCATATATAGAGATGGTCCTCCTTCTACTCTACACTCCATAGTAGCGACATATCCACGGGCAGTAATCTTCATAGAGAAAATATTAGACATAGGAAATGTCATAGCAAAATGATATAAGACAGTTAACCCCCCCCCCCCCACTCGCCCCCGACATCCCTTCTAAGCACAGATTACCTAAAGTGCGTGCAAGATAACTGTTGCGCACGACTGATGGCGTACTTAATGTTACCAGCTTAAATAATATCTTTTCCTTTATTTAATCTTATTACTAGAATTATATAATTTTATCAAATTACATAAATGAACGAATTGATTACCAAAACTCAGTAAAAAAAAAACTGTAATGTTCAGCTTAAACTTACAAAGACCTAATAAATAGCGCAATGAATATTAATTCGCATAATAAATATATTCCTTTATTGTAACTTCTGTAAGTTTGACACTACACATCACAAGTTTTTATAGTAGGATTTAAGTTAATATAAATTATTCCTTTAAAACATTTGAAAACGTTTAATTTATGCGAGCGATTTTGAGAAAAAAAAAACCAAAAAACACGCTTCACTTTTATTTTTGGTATTCTTCTCAGCAAAGCCTTTTATTTAACATCCATATCATTGGAATGTACAAAAAATAACTAGTTCTCCATCTTTGAAGTCCACCATATTGGATTTAGAATGAGGTCACTTATTTTCATCTAAACTTAACGTATATGCAAAATTTCCGCTTCATCGAGAACCTAAAAGTTGGTCAAATTTAACTTTCAAACTTTTTTACATAATTATAAGTGAAGATGTTATATGCGTGTTAAAAATGACTATTATTATGATTAATGAACACTGATATTTTGTCTATAATGTATTTAAAAAAAAGGTATTTTAAAACTATTATAAAGACCGAAATTAAAAGTCCATGGAAACCTTGTAAATATTTTATTGAATAGCTAGATGTATATGTAAATTTGGTGTAACAATGGTCCTGCAGTGGGTCAACACCTTCCTTTCCCACATCTTCATCAGAATCCATGCTAGTCTTCATCAGAAGACTCGGATGTGTCATTAATTATAAATTTATCCATTTAAACAGGCACCTTTTGTATTCGTAGCCCCTACTCAACGTTGTTCTGCCATATTTAAAATCAATATAAGCTTGCAATTCCAACCAAAGTTTATTTATGGCAGGAATCTCATTCTTCACAACGTCAAACGATTGATTTAAATGCCTTATAGCGCCACGTATGAAAATCGTCTAAATCATAATTTTTTTCCTCCGGTTCCTAGTTTTTGCCGGCGTCACAATTTTAGATGAAGCTGCTGCTACATTATGTACCCTCTTGAATTATTTGAGTGACGGTGAGTTCAGAAACGCCTAAAACATAATAAAAACAATGCATTATAAAGACATGATATTAATGACACGAGAAAACTAAAAACGAACAAATCGAGAAAATTAGGGAGTTTTATTTGTTATGGCAGCCCTAAAAATTACCTGTAAAATATGAAACGTGGGCTCTAACTTTAGAAAATGGTACTGTAGGCCCGTTATTGTATCGTTCTTCGTCACAAGCACATTTGAACTTCAAGATAATATCCCTGCCAGCAATTTTAATCTCTTTCGGCATAATGATGACGATTATTTACTGCAAAAATGAATAAAAACAAGACACCTAACAATCTGTTTTGACACCTGCCATAAAGAGTAAGATGGCGACACACGATTAGTTCCAATTTTGGCCACGCGCAAAGTTATCTTGCGCGTACTATAGTAGATTCTACACGAAACTTCTAAGTACAGACTAACTAGGAGATCGGTCGCAGCTCGCAGCCATCTCGAGTAGAATCTACTAATTATCTCTACATATTTATTTATCTATGATTAGTCTGCGGCAGCCATATTGCTTTTTTGTCCGTAATCATAGTGTCACTGAGTGACATTACTGATTTACTGATAAAAAAATTCCGTTTGGTTGAGTAAATTTATTTCCGCCCTTTGTTTGCATTTTTATTTGCATTTACTTGTATTTTATATCTCTCGATATGTATTATAAGTGTTGTGTACCAGGTTGTACAAGTTCGCGACAGGACGCTATTTTACACAAATTTCCCCCCAATGAGAAAATGCTCAAGAAGTGGCTTGAATTGATTCCTTGTGATTTGTTACAGAAGAAAAGTGTTAGTGATCTTGCCCAGCTGCAAGTCTGTCACAAACATTTTGAATCTCGTTTTCTTACTGGAAAAATTACATATTTTAAAGATTAGAAGAAGAGAACGCTGTTCCTGGAATCTGAGATCAGCACTGACATTCCACTAAACCGTTTGGAGGGCATTTAGTTGTTACTTTGCAACCAATAACCATTAGAAAGTATTTTTATTTTCTATAAATGACGGATATAATGAACATCATCAGATATACCTCTAAACCTTAAAACGAAATTGTACAACCAGTGCGTGTTGCCTTAC